TGCTTTAAGTCCAACATAAGCCCCTCACTCCTGGCCACACTCACCTATCTGGTCCTCAAGTGTTCTGTCCTTCAGGGCAGGGCCCCCTCACGAGCCTCCTGTGATCTGCAGTGGCCCCTCTGGCTGCCTCCCAGCTCCACCTGTGTGCCCCTGGGGACTCTCCTCTCTGGGCTGCAGGACTATTTTCCTGAACAGGGCTCTGAATGGCTCCATTCACCTTGGCAGGGGTAACCCAGAGAAAGGAATTTTGTTTGGCATCCTGGAGAAGCCAGAACTTTGATTTGCCTTTGAAATCAGGCCCCCTCCCCTCCCATTCCCAGGGGTCCCTCGAGACTTCCCTGGTCACACCCTGCTGGCCCCAAATCTCTCTCCCCTGAAACTCTGCCGCCATCAGCATCTTGGCTCCAGGTGACTCTGCCATGGACCCCAGAGCCCTGTGCTTCCCGCCCTGGTGCCTGCTCGTCTGTGTCATGTTAGGTGTGGACATCTCCTTCCATCTTCTTTTCTCCCCTAGGACTCCTGGGGTCCACCTGGACCAACCCCCCTTGCCCTGTCACCTGCAGGGGGACGGGGAGTGAGCCCTGGAACTGAGCACTGAGCTCAGCTCCTCCACTCATTGATCCCCCCGTGGCTGGGTCCTGTCACCTCTGTCCTTACAATGACAAGGACAAACAGTGTGCATTATCTTCCAAGTCCTTTCCAGACCCAACAGGCCTCTGATCTGAAAGTCAGAGGCTATCATTTTAAGTGTAGCAATCTGGGATTCACCGGATGGTACAGTGTGTGGAACTCTGAAATCTGACAGCATACATCCTGGTTCCTCCAGTGACTGGCAAGATCTAATAAAATTAAGTCTCTAAGACTCAGTTTACTTAGGAGTAGAGTGAGGATAAAAGTAATCCTAAAATTATAGGGGGGTTTGACAATTAAATGATGTAATATATATAGACACTTGGCTTGGAGCCTAGCTCACTAACACTCAATAAGTGATCATGTTATTATTTTAATTTAAAAGAATCTGATTATACCTGATCCTACCAAGATTGTATAATTCCGAGAGTCTGAGTGTTTATGTCTGGATTCTTTGACTCTAAGAATCTATGGTTTTTGTTGCAAAGATCTGCAGCTGTAGGGTTCCATCAAGGGCCCAGCCTGAAGGATTTCTAGCCCAGAACCAGACAGTAGATAAGTTCGTGGAGGAGACAGACCCTCCATCTCTCTTCTTCCATCCATCCCAGGAAGCGATTGGGGCTGTAATAATGTCTGCAAGAGAATAGCTGTGCTTGAAGCAGGATTTAGAGATCTGATGTCATCCCAGACACCCTCTTCCAGATCTGTCCGTCCACTGGCAATTCACTTTCCCACTCGGTGCTGTTAGAAGCTCCATAGGGAGCCTCAGATGGGAGGGAAGGGGCAGGCACCTTCCTGATAAGAAGGTAAGTTTGTCACAGCAGCGATGGTTGAAATTGAGGGTTGATTTGAAGGAGAAGGAGTTGGAGGATGGGGGATACTGGGGTGATGTGATCACACATTTAGAGCATAGGCACTGAGTAGGATCCCTGAGAGCTCTTCTAGTGCAGGAATTTAAAAACTATGCTCCGAGGAATTAATTCTATTGCTCTTACTGCCTGCCCTGCGGTAGGAGAGAGCGTGGGGGGGGGGGCGATTGAAAAGCTGGGTGGGTGGGTCTCCAGCCCCGCTGTTTCCTTCAACCAGAACAAAAACTATTATTTTTCAACATTTCGAGAGGATTCTGTTATCTAGACTCTGTGTATTGATCGGTTTGCTTTTAAACTGGAAAATCTTGGTTTAGTCCAACCTCTTCATTTTATAAATGCAAAAACTGAGATCCAGGGACAGCAAGGTGAAGAATACAAAGTAGCATCAGACAGGACCCCTCTAATTTGTTGATCCTGGGCATACTATGTAACTTAGGGGCCACTCAGTTTCCTCATCTGTAAAATGGGGCAGCAGTGAATGCTTCCTGGTAGGGCTTTGTGAGGATTAGATCAGATAGTGCATGGAAAGTGCCTGGGTGCCCAGTGGTTTTTAGTTGTGATCATTATCGTCATCATCACAAGCTGACCACCTCCCAGGCATTTGGGTTGCCTCTGTATCCCCAGAGCAAGTTTTTCCCCAGGTCCTGGCTGTCCCAGGTCCAGTGCCAGGCTGTGGTGTGGAGTGAGTGGGGCTGGGGTGTTCCTGGATTGAGGAGTGTGGTGAGGCAGTAGCCACTAGGGCACACTCGTCTGCCCTGTCCAGTGGCAAGCCAGCAGCGGTGCGCTCCTCACCAGTGGAGTCAAGGCTTCTTCAGCCTTTCTGTCGGTCTCAGCAGTTCTCTAAGCAGCCAAGGGGGCTTATCTCCTCCACACAGGACCCCAAACCTGAGACACCCAGTCTGTGGTTCAACCCACTCACTCCCTAGGGTGAGTGCCTGCCTGTGCAATCTCCCTTTTCCCCTTAGTCCCCTCCCAGGGGAACAAGTCCTACTCAACCTTTCTTGCGGCCTTGGTGACACAGGAGTTCTTCCAGTTCCCAATTAGTTTTGTATGACAATTGTTCCACATGTGGATGCATTTTTGATGTGTTTCTTGGGGGAGGTGAGCTCCACGTCCTTTTATTCCACCATCTTGATCTGGCTCCCACCCAGATTCTTATCCCAACCATTCTTATAGTCCCATCACCATGTTTGTCCCCCCGCCTCCCCTCCTCTCCACAGCAGACCCTCCTTTCTCCCCCAGTCCCACCACACAAGCTTTGGCAACATTGCTCCTACCGAGAGAGAACTTCAGTGTGATGTGCATGGTTCTGGGTGAGCCAGAGGTGGCTGTGGACTCGCCGGGAACACCCAGGGCAGAAGGCAAGAGAAGGCAGCGTGTGTAAGCGGGGGGGGGGGGGGGGAGGTGGTTTGGGGGCGGGGCCGTGGGATGGAAGGATTAGCATGAGGGCCAGGAGCCGTCCCGGCAGAGGGGACCACTAGGTGACTGGGAACCTGAGGAGCCTGGACTCTAGTCCAAACTCTGTTGCTGCTTTTGAGTGACCTTAGGCGAGTCACTCTTTTCTGGGCCTCAGTTTTCTCCTATGTCCGTTAGAGCTACTTCTCAGTTTAGTGTATAAAAATGAGTAACTTGTTCCTTTTCATTTGTCCAATAATTGAGTGCCCACTACATACCAGACACTGTACTTGGTACCAAGACTACAGTGATTTAAAAAGAGATGAGGCTTCCGCCTCTCTGAAAGCTCATAGTCTGAATGGGGAGGAAGATGGGGGAATGAACAGACCCGATCATCTAGACAATACAAAGTGCTCCATCGAGGATAAAATGAGGCAGTGTGATAGGGTCTGAGATGGAGCAGTGACCGCGCCTTCTCTGAGGTGACATTCAAGCTGAGACCAGGCTGGCCCAAAGCACATGAAGCTGGGCTTGGACAAACCGCTCAGGCCCTGTGTCCAGGTGTGTATGTGACGGGAAACGGACCAAATGCATTAGTAAGTGTCTCCTGGCCACGCACCGTGGTCCCAGACCTTCCCCAGGTGGTGGTGGTCGTGTTCTTTCCTCTCAGTGAACCAATCCATAACCTTGAACATCTGGAGAATAGCTGTGCCAAACAGTAGGCTACCCGCTCCCCCCGCCACCCCACCGACAAGTTTAGGAATTCATCAAAGGGCTTGCTGTAGGGGCTGGGATTTGACACGAGCCTTGTGGGGAGGGCTGGACCAGCAAAGACATGATGAAGGTAAGCCTCCCAGAGGCCTTAGGAGGTAGAAAGAGTGAGGGATCATTGTCCCATTTGTCAAAAGTGGAAACTTGAGACCCGACAAGGGGGAAAAGAACACCCAGGTGGCTGGGAGACACTGGCTCTGCTAGGCCAGCATTCTCCTACACATGCCCCTTGGAATGGTAGAATACCAAACAATGTCACCACCCCCTCCTCCAAAAAGCATGTTCTTAAGAAAACACTGCCTCTTGTTAGCATCTGCCTTGGAGATTCAAAATGCACATCCACACGTGATAGACTTGGTGGTGTGTCTCCCCAGTTTAACTCTGCTTGACTGTTTCCCAAACACCTTTGCTGCCTTTGGGGAGGGATCACCCATTAACATGCCCACAGAACCGGAGAGCCACGACACCCATACTGGCAAGTGCTGAGTTATTGCTGCCTCTCCGTGAGTAGAGGAGACCCCGGCTTCCTCCCCCGGGGACTTGAAAAGGGATTTATCTTTTCCCCTCAAAGAACCTGGCCTTTCTGGTGCTCTGATATTCAGGTGTGGTCTTGGCCAAGACACTCCTTCTTTCCCTGAAGGGATATGCTGTGCCCCTTACCTGCCACTGGTACCCCAGTCAGAGACCACACCCGGGGCAGCTGATGGACAGTTATTTTTTGTCCCTGCAGCTGGGCCCACCCGTTGGTGTCAGCGAGTAGGCCGACAAGATGTGGACACGGTGCGCCGGGAGAGCCGGGCACAGCAGGACGCAAGGAGCAGCCTGTATGTGGAAGAGGCCCCGGCCGGGACGGCGACAGCTGTACCTGTTGGGTCATCAACCTTCAGAGCACGGGGACAGCTACCACCTGTGTCCTTGTCACCTACAGCCCTTGTGTCTCCCCTCCTCTGCTCCCTGGAGTCTGGGTTTGGAGCAACGCGCAGAAGCAGGGGTAGGTAACTGAGCGAGCCTCGCTGATTTTGATGCCAGGAGGCGCCCCGACAAAGCGGAAAGAACTTCAGCACTCACCCCTTACACTCTGCCGGCTTGTTGCTGCTTTCACCTCTTGATTCGGCCTCACTCCAAGTCTTGATCTTTTCTGCCACCCTTCAAGCCAGTCTTGACTCCAACCCCAGGCCCCTCATCAAGGCTGGGCAAAGCTAGGGCCCGTGGGCCACCAGTACCTGAGGACGAGCCCCGAACTGCTGGTGAGTCCCCTTACTGCTTACTGCTCCAGGATCCCGGCCCTGAGAGAGGACCCAGCCCTCCCTCTCCCAGGAAAACAGAGAGGCCAAATAAACGTGGAATAATGCGTTCTTTTCAGTTCCCATAGCTCGATTGCCCCAGGTGCGGGCGAGACCACAGTTCTCCTCACAGCCCCACAGGCTACATGCAGGAAACGCCCCTTCCCACAACCTGTCCCTTCTCCAGCCCGGCCCCTCTGATTTAAAAAGTGTTTTCTAAAGTGCATCTGCAGCCTGAAGTGCTCAGATTGGGGTAGAAACTTGGGTCGAGATGTTGAGGAGATGCTGGCCACTTTGCTTCCTTCTTGGGAATCTGCAGTGCACATCAGCATATTTACGGTTCAGAGAAGTCCTGCAGGTGGCAGATCTGTTGAACTTGAGGGAACCTAGTTTCCCAGATTACTTGACCGTCCATTCTTTTCTTGGTCGTGCCCATTAACGTCCAATGAACTAGCCTATCCTACAGAGAGGCTTTGAGAAAACTTGACGTATGTGTGTTTCACTCCAGAGCTGTCCCCAAGGCTCCTGGAGAACCCATGTGCCCAGGGCTGGAGAAGCAGCGCCACCTCTGAGCTCCTAGAACTAGAAATGGACGAAGTCCAGATCTGGGGGCCTCAGGAAGGCAGTCTCAGATGATGGAGGAAGCCTCAGTTCCAGTGAGGACTTTTCCTCCATGATGGGGGGGACCTCAGGCAAGGCCCACTGGCTCCTGCGAGCTCAATTTGCTCTCTGCTAAAGTCAGATAAGAACCTGCTTTAAGGACCTTATGCAGGTCCAGGGAGGGAGGTGTATGTGAAAGCATTTCATTAAAATGCTTATACAGGGGCGGGATTCCTTCTGTTTTCAGATGACGGAAAGCTTCCTGAGAAGAAACTTGAGTCCGCAGTCAGTCAGGACTGGCCAGGCCTGCTGAGCTCAGCGACTCCAGCCGCCCCTCCGCACTGATGGGGGCTGAGGGCCGGGTACTGGGGGCCCAGGGTCAGGGGGCGGTAGGAGGAATTAAGCGGAGAGCAGGAGTGAGACACTGGCAAGGGGTGGGGGGCCAGATAGAGGAAGGAGGAGAAAGACGAAGTCTCAGATCTGCTCTCCCAGAGCCTGGGAAGGACGAACAAGCACAGTAAGGTGCGACCTGGATGACAGATGAGGTCCTAGTCCTGGCTCTGTGGGTCCCACTCCCCACCTCAGTTCCCTCGTCTGTACAGGGATGAGGTTCCAGCTGTGGGTACCCAGACCTGCTATGTGGCCCCCGTTTCCAGATGGCACTGAGACTAAGGGACCAGAGGGCTGAGGGGTGAGCTGTGCCAGGTGCAGGAGGAGGAGCAGCCCCGGACATAACCCCTCAACTGATCAGACTCTGGGAATCAGTGGCATGCCCGATGCCCTGCCAAGCCCCCTGGCCAGGGCTGAGCTGGCTTCCTGGCACCAGCAGCCCTCTCAGTGTTCACCTTTCCCAGTTTGATTCACAGGGTTGGCCCCTGTCTGCCAGCCCCTATCTGACCTTCAGATAATCCTAGAATGGGACACCGAGTGACTTGAGGGCCAGTTGTGCAGTTCCTCCAACCAATTTAGAGGCTGAGAGGAGGCCAGGGTGGGGGTGTGGGGAGCATCTGGGGGAAGTCAGGTCACTGATGAGCTGGCAGCGAAGCTGACACGTGAGGACCAGGGGGTGGTCTCCTCTTGGTCAGATGACCCATGTGGTACGGGCTGCCCCTGGGGAAAGCCCCAGAACTCTCTTAGTTGGACAGAGAGAAGGGGGCACAAGAAAAGGACTCCTCTTGCTCGTCGCCTGGGCCACCTCGAGGGTTGGTGCTGCTCGGGCCCTTGGAAGCCCTGGAGGTGATTCCACGTGGCCGAAGCCCCCAGGGCTCACTGGGCACACATCCTGGCTCCCCCTCTCACTCCTGCCTTCGTCCCCTTCTGGGAAAAGGACGAGGGGCTCCTGCTGTCTTCTCTGCCCAGTCCTGGAGAGAGAAAAGCTGTAACACAGGTGTCAGGGCAGCCCAGGCCCTAGGTGGCGAGGAAGGAGACCTCAGTGGGGGTGACGGAGGCCAGGGGGAAGGCGGGGGAGGTGTCGGCCCCGAGGACCCGGTACAGCAGCTCCTCCTTCTTCTGCTGGAGCTGCTGCCGTAACTGCGTCTCCTTCTCCAAGGCCTCACGGGTGAGAAGCAGGTCCTCTGAGAGCTGCCTGTGGATGCAGACGAGCCCAGGGTTGCCTGTGGGGAACCGTCCCTCCGGACCTTCAGCCCCTGCAGAGACCAGCCCACTCCTCCAGGAAGCCTTCCTGCAATGCGCCCCAGCAGGCCCAGCCACCCAGTCCCCAAAAGGCAATTCTAGCTGTTGACCAAGGAGTGCGCCCTCACAGGCAGACAGCTGTGGGTTCAGACCTGCTCCACCACTTAGATGTAACTCCAGAAAAGGTCTTCACTATTGCCAAATTTGTAAAATGGGAGTGACAAGAAGACTCAGCTCTTAGAGTAATTATGAGGATTAGATGAAGTAATGGGTATTTAACCAATTAACTCTGACACATGATCTTAGCTCTCATTTACTGAGCCCTCAGAACTGATTTATTTATTTGTGTATGTTCATTCATTCATTTGGCCTCTTGAACTCTAAGCTTCCTGTTCCTTCTTCCTGGGTTGGGTCGTCCCATGGAGCCCACACAGCCAGGATAGGGACAGACAGATATTAATCAGCACTGAGATGTAGGTTTCTGGGCCAAGCTGGTGCCTTGGGATTCCCGACTCCCAAGCAAGGAGGAGCCACGTTCCCCAGACAGGGAATGTGTCAGTCCATTCCCCGGGTCTCTCTGCCAAATGGAGATTTTGGCAAAAAGGTGGGGATGGGAGGAGATGGGGTAGGGGCAGCTACCTGGACACAGCCATCTGGTTGCGGCCTCGGGCGTGGAGGTCCTCATACTCCTGCTGCAGGGCAGTGATTTTCTCCTCCAACAGCAGGTTTTTTTCCTTCTGTAACAAATAGGAGAGAGCTCAGAAAGCCCCCAGCTCACCCAGCACAATGTGTGCCGTCCCCTCCCTCTTATCTGTGGTCACCAAAAACACTGAATCACTCTAGACCAAATGCTACATTTCATGGAGCAATAAGATTACTTAGAAAATTACAACTAAGGGGTGAACACAGGGCTGCCAACTTCTCACTTTGCCAGATGAGAACAATACACAAAGAAGACAGCCACTCACTACCATCTCAGCTCTCCATCAGTTCACAAGAGAAAGGAAATTTTTAGTTCTCCAAAAGTCACAAGGATAGAATCTATATAAGTTTCAGTGTTTCTATTATCCCATTTCACAAAAATGCTAGAACAGAATTTACAGGGAACATCTGAGATGGTCTGATTTAAAAACTAGGTAGTGTGGTGCACGGGAGGCCAGGGAACGTCTTCTCGGGCAACATCACATGATCTGTTTGGATTCAACCCGAGGTTCCCAAGGCTGCCCTTCTGGAGACAAAGCCACCAGTGCCCTCGACGCTTACCATGGCCCAGGCCTGTCCTTGCTGACTGTGGCTTCCCATATCTGTTCGATTTTTTTTTTCAGCCTTGCCCTCTTCCTCAACCCCCACTTGATATGTGATATCTGCCCACCCCTCCTGATTGGCCAGGCCACCTGCCCCAGTGTCACCCAGATCACAGCTACAAGCAGTCGAGAAAAGTACAGGACCTGGATGAGACGGAGCCACTGCTTGGCCAGCATGGGCAGCAGGTCAGAACAGGCACAGAAGGGACCAGGCTGGGCCCTCCTCAAGTACCTCCCCCTGCACCCATGACTGAGGAAATGCCCAGAAAGTAGGTGGGGCTGCCTCCCCCAAGCCGCTGCCAGCCACAGACCACTGTTTCCATGACGATCAGCCGCTTGTCTAGCTCGTGAATTCGCTCGTTCTTCATCTCGATGACAAAGTGTAAGCTCTCCAGCTCCTGCTCCCAGAACTGGCTGGGGCTCCCGTAATCCTAGACAGGGACACAGAGTGACCTCAGCAGACCAGCAGGCAGAGGTGGGCCTGGGCTACCTCCCTCCTCCCTATTCTGCCCCCAACTCTGTTTGACTTTCCCAAGCCACCTCCCCCTCTTGGTCCGTGGCAAGTGCATAGTGCGCTCTATCTCATTTTAATCTAATAGCGCCCTTTGACATTAGTACCATCGCAGACGCTAGTAACCTCACAGAGGAACCTGTGGTTCACGGCGGTTGAGTTTAAGTCGCTTGTGCTAAGTGGTAGGTTTGCTCTTTGCAGCTAGTTCTGAATCCAGAGCCTAAGCACTTTACCATCTTACATGCCTCTCTTTTGGCTTTACTTCGCCCCTTAGTGACATGGGGACACTGTTTATTCCAGGCCTTCATGATGGTAAGAGTGTCAGGTCTGAGCCCTGTCCTTGAGGAGGGATTGGCCTTTCCTTTTGCCCAGACTCAGACCTCCTTGGAGATTCAAGAAGAAGAGGCCCCAGGTGTTCTATCACCTACCTGGATGTGCTTCTTATAGTCTCGGCTCAGGATGGACTCCTCTACCCTCTTCATCTTGGCCTGGAAGACCTCCAGCTGTGCGGTCAGCCCATCAATGGTCTTCTGGAGAAGGGAGTGGGAAGGAGGGGATGAAAGCCTGGCTCATAAATGCTGTATGGACCTCTCCACATCCCACAGAGGGACCAGTTTTGGGTTCTTCAGTCTGTCCTTGCTCTACCCGACAATGCAGGTTTAATCTATTTCAGCTACTGCCTGAAACATACAGCCCCACCTCTCCATACCTGTGGGGACAAAGTCAGGGTGTTCCAGGCCGGCGTTACCCTGACATTCAAAATATACACAAACTAGGCTCAGTGTCTTTCCCAGTCTCATCTCTCCCTGCTGCTGCCCGCTACATGCCTCTTCCTGCAACCAAACATTGTTATCACTCCTTCAAATGCAAGGTGTATTCTTGTCTCCATACTTGCACCCTGCCAGTGATTTCTTCCATCTAAACATTGTCATTGCCTTCAGGATAGCAGAACCCCTTATGGTGGCTCCTAGGTTCCCAGGCTCCCATGATCCGGTCTTGCCTGCCTGTCCAGCCTCAGCTCTCTCCCACTCATACTCTATATCCAGGCATCTTGGATTTCTTTCAGTTCCACAGGTATTCTGTTTCCCTCCTTTCCTCCATGCCTTTAAATAGCTTTTCCCCCTACCTAGGGCACCCTTCCTACTCTACTTCATCTGAAAAATGCTAACAGATCCAGAGGGCCCAGCTTAGATCTCACACCCTCTAGGAAATCCCTAAGCGGCCACATCGGGTCAGATGCCTTCTTTTTTGCTTCCACAGGTCCCTGTGCATCCATCCACCCTTCTAATCACACGGTGGCACCAGGCCATGGAGTCTCCAAGATCCTCCCAACACTCCTGGGAAAAGTAGGCCAACTCTCATCTCAAACCAGTTCCTCTTGAGCTAATCATCTGGTTGTCACATCGAGGGACAGGGACCCACGGAAGACAATCATCTCTGCCCTTCCCACCCAGGCAGAGCCCTCAGCTTTGTTTGCTCTGGGGCTCCATGCTGCTTTCCTGCAGGTCCACCCCTCCTCTCAGACAGGCTGACCTGGCCCAGAGCCTCTTACCTGCAGGGCTGCCTCCGCCTCCTGGAAGGAGTGGGAAAGGGCTTCCTTCTCCTGCTCATAGGAGGCCTGGAGGACTGCAGGAAAAGGAGGCCTCTGTGAGCTCAGACACCCAGATACATCCCCTCAAGCCTTCTGACAGGACCCGTGAAGACCAGACGGCCCAGGTGGCACCCACAGGGGCCAGGAGTCTGAGGAGGCTTTTATTTATCCTTGTACGTCATGGACTTGGGGCTGTGCCAGAAATATTTAATAAAAGCTCACACAAATGGCAACAAACTACATTCTGGGAAGAGCCATGAACCCTAGGAAATTGTAGGCGCCATCCGCACCTTGCTGAGGCTGAGATCCCAACATCTTGCAGCAAGCTGGTTCATCTCAGATCACAGCATGCCGTGGAAAAGGCCCAGATCCCGTGTTTTGTCAGTTGGGTTAGCCAAATCATGGAATCATTAAATCGTTAGTTGTCAAACTATGGCCCCAAAATAAATAAATAAATAAATAAGGCAAGTATTTAAGATTTGGAGCCAGAGCATCTACCTGGTCCTAATTCTGCTTCTGTTAAGCTGAGAAACCAGGAGGAGATCATCTGAAATACCTAAAAGGCCCTAGTGCCTCAGCTGTGAAAAGTGTCAAAAACAAGCCAGGCCTAGCTGTCTCTAAGAGATGAGAAAAAGACACGGCAGGGTTCTCCAGGCTGGGCGGTGCTGTGCAGAGCCGGACTTGTTACCATCCCCCTAATCCACAGAGCTAGGTTTTTCATCCCGCCTCCTCTACTAAGTTCTTCTTGGAAAATCCCAACCTTGTCTCGGCTGAAAGGAGATAACAGGGAAATGATGGACCAGTGGACGCGATTGGAAATAAGACAGAGGACAGGAGAGCGTAATGCAGCCAAAGGCCCAGGCGTACGGTGGGCTTGTGTCCCAGTGGGCAGTGACACAGGGAAATAATATTCAGTAATAGAACTGTGATAGAGCTGTCACAAGTTGAAAAATTACAGGTTTGATTTTTATAAACTATGAGCCTAATTTTCTGAATGAATTTACCTATCAAGAAAGGTTCGATTCCAGGTAAGATGGAGGAAGCACACTCCATCCAGTCTTTCCTACTGAATGTAGCTCTAAAACCTGGACAGCATGAATGGAACAACTATTTTCAAACTCTGAAAGAGAAATGGTAACAGGCAGACTGGGCAAGAAGACCAGAATTCGAAGTACCACTGAACCACTATATTTAAACAAGACCTTTAATCTCATATCCAAATATCCAAAATGTCCAGGAGGTAAGTAAGTAAGTAAATAAATAAATAAATAAATTAATTAATTAATTAATTAAAATGCTCGGCATACAAATCCAAAGTTTCTCAGCATACAAAGAAGGGGGAAAATCTCAACTATCCTGAGAAAAGACATTCAACAGATGCTAACACTAAGATGCCACAGATGTTGTAATTATTAAAAGACTTTTAAGGAAGCCACTATAAAAATGCTCTGAAGGGTGAACACTCTTGAAAAGAATGGAAAAGCAGAAAGTCTTACTAAATAAATAAATATTAAGAACCAAGGTGAAATTTTGGGGAAAAAAAATACATGAAGTAAGAAATTCACCTGATGGGCTCAATAGTAAAATAGAGATGCCATAAAAAAGAGCTAGAGAACTTGAAGAAAGATCAACAGAAATTATCCAACCTGAACAACAGAGAAAACATATGGGACAGAGCCTCAGAGACCCATAAGATAATTCCAGAATGTCTAACTTTTGTGTCATGGGAGTCTCAGAAAGGATGCATTGCAAAATATTTGAAGAATGGTTGACTACTCCCCAAATTTGGCAAACGTAATCCTATAGATTAAAGATGTTCACTGAACCCCAAACAAAGTAAACCCAAAGAAATCTATACCCAGGCACATCATTTAAAAAAACTAATGACAAAGAAAAAAATCTGGGACAGAACCGATGAAAAACGATGCATTACGTAGAGGAAGTAACAGTCTGAATTAGTGTGGATTTCTCACTAGAAACCTTGGAGACTAGAAGGAATCAGAACATTTTAGAACTGCTGAAATGAACTGTAAGTCCAGACTCCCATATCCAGTAAAAATATCGTTCAGGAAAGAAGGTGAAATAAAGACATTCTAGATGAAGAAATAGTCAAAGAATTCATCACCAACAGGCCTGCCCTAAAAGAATTACTCAAGGAAACTGTGAGCAGAAGGCAAGTGACACCAGAGAGAAACTTGGAATTTCAGGAATATGAGGAGAGCAACAGAGCTGGTAAATACCTGGGTAAATATAAGACTGTTCTTCTTCCCTTGAGCTCTTTAAAATATGATGGTTAAAAGCAAAAATTATAACATTGTCTCATGGGGTGCATGGAGTATTCAATATACGTAGAGGTAATACATTAGACTAAGCACAACAGAAAGAGGAGAGGATAGAGACCTGTACGACAGTAAGGGTCATACATTTCACTTGAAGGGAAGAGATATAAGTTCTAGGTAGACTATTATGCATATTGTAATTCTTAGAGCAATCACTGATATATATACAGACATACATGCATATATATATATACACACACCCATACATATATCTGTACACAAAGAGATACGGTAATTAAAAGAGACAGCAGCTAAAATGAATACTAAAAATGTTCAAATACTCCAAAAGAAAGCAGGTTAGGGTAAATAGAGGACAAAAAGCAAAAAGAGAACAAATACAAATGATAGACCTAAATTGAACCATGACAGTAACATTAAATTGTTTAAATACACCTAATAAAAGACAATGTCAGAATAGGTTTTGAAAGAAAACCCCAGCTATGTGCTATTTAGGAGACGCCCACTTTAACTGTGTCAGAGGTCGGTTACAAGTGTATGAGTGGAAAAGCAACATTTCAGAAGAAAGAAGATTCTCAGGAATGAAGATGTGCATTGCATCATGACAAAGGGGTCAGTCCTCCAGGAAGACGTCACAACCTCCAATCATTCTTTAAAGCACATGAAGCAAAAACTGGCAGAACTGGAAGGAGATATAGACAGTTACAGTTGAAGATTTCAAGACTCCTCAGTATTCAAGAGAAAAAGTAAGCAGAAAATCAGCAAGAATACAGAGGAATTAAACAAAGCCATCAACAACTTGCTTTAATTGACACATGCATAAAATACTCAACCTTACAAAAGCAGAATAAACCTTCTTTTCAAGTGTACAGGAAAATCACAAGATAGACCATATCGTGAATCATAAAACAAGCTTAACAGATTATAAAAGGAACAAAATATAAACTATGTTCTCTGACCATAACAGAATCAAACTGGAAATCAATAACAAAAAGAGAACTGGAAAATCTCCAAACACTTAGCAGGAAATACACTTCTAAGTATTCAATGAGCCAAAAAGGACGTCTTAAGGGAAATCAGAAGATATTTTGAACTGAACAAAAATTAAAATATAAAACATCAATTTGTAGGAGGCAGATAATGCAGAGCTGAGGGGGAAATTAATACACTAACAGCTTCTGTCAGAAAAGGAGAAAGGTCTCAAACCAATAAACTTCTGGTTTAAGAAATTAGAAAAACAAGGGCTAAAAAAATATATAGCAAGCAAGCAGAAGAAAGGAAATAAGAGCAGAAATCAATGAGATTGAAAATAGAAAAGTAGGGGGGAAAAATCAATGAAACCTAAAGCTGCTTCTTACAAAAGATTAATAAAATCAATAAACCTCAAGCAAGCTTGACAAAGAAAAAAATGCACAGGTTACCAATCACAGAAACTTAAGAGAGGATATTATAGACACAGAAGATACTTAAAACAGTGGTAAGGGACCACTATGAACAATTCTATGCACATAAAACCTGAAAACTTAGATGAAATGTACCAATTCCCAAAAAACTACAAACTCCAAGACTTATCCAAGGAAATCCTGTAACTATTAACGAAGTTGAATTTGTACTTAAGTACTTCCTGGAAAAGAAACGTGCAAGCACATCTTTTCTTTGTTTATTTGCTGTCTGTATATCCTCCTTGGTCAAATGTCTGTTCAACTCTTTCTGTTTCGCTGACAAATTCTACTGAATATTTTAAAATGATATGGTACCAACCCTACACAATGTGTTCCAGAAACAGAAGAGGAAGGGACATTTCCCAGCTCATCTCATAAGGCCAGCTTTACCCCAATACAAAAACCAGACAGATGGTAGAAGAAAAATACAAACCAGTAGCCCTTATGAACACAGATATATACATCTTCAGTAAAATATTAGTAAGTCAGATTTAGCTATCTATAAAAAGACCAAGTGGAGGTTTTGCCAGGAATGTAAGGCTAGTTCAAAACTTGAATTTCGAAACTCAAAACCTGAAATTTGAAAACTCAATGTAATCTACCATGTTAAGTCTAAAGAAAAACCATATGACTATATGGATCATAGGTCTAAATGTAAAACTTAAAACCATAAAACATGTGGAAGAAAATTAGAAGATCTTTGTTACCTGGGGTTCAGCAAAGAGTTCTGAGACATGACACCAAAAGCACAATTATAAAAGAAAAAATAACCAGGCAGGGACGGGTATAGCTCAGTGGTAGAGTGCGTGCCTAGCATGCACCAGGACCTGGGTTCAATCCCCAGTACCTCCATTAAAGATAAACACATTTTTAAAAAATCTAATTATCCACCCCCGACCAAATAAATAAATAAATAAATAAATAAATAAATAAATAAATAAAATTTAAAAACTCATAATTTACCAAATTGAAAACTTCACTCTGTGAAAGACAATAAGAAAATATGGGGCTGGGAGAGACCCAAACAGACTAGGGAGACAATATTTGCAAATACAAAGGACTTGAATCCAAAATATATAAAGATCTCTCAAAGAGTTAAGAACAAACAAGTTAATTAAAATGGGCAAAAGCTTTGAATAGACATTTGACCATAGAGGATATACAGACAGCAAAGAAACAAAAGATGTTCAACATGATTAGTCATTATTGAAACACAAATTACACCCACAATGACATATCGCTGCCTATTTATTAGAAGAGCTAAAATAAAAATTACTGACAAGTGCTGGTGAGAAGCAACAGTGGAACTCGTCCATCGCTGATGGGAACGTAAAATGATGGTGCCCCGGAAAAGCAGTTTAGTCATTTCTTAAAGAGCTGAACGTTTCTCATATGACCCATTCATTCCACTCCTAGGTGTTTACCCAAGAAACTTATGAACACGCAGAAACCTGTACACAAATGTTTAGAAGAGCTCTGTTCCTAAATGCCTCAAGCTGGAAATGATCTGAGTGTCCTGGGACAAGGGGATGAGTAAACACTGGATTACAATTCAGCCGTGAAAAAGAAAGCACTCGTGACACACCCAGCCACTTGGATGACTCTCAAAGGCATCGTGCTAAGGGAGCGAAGCAGATATCAAAAGCTATATTGTATCATTGTTTTGTATAGCAGTCCCAAAGACAAAACCATGGTGGTGGAGAACAGATCAGTTCCAGGGGTTGGGGTAGGGGAGGATGTGAGCACCTCCAATGGGCAGCCTGAGAGAGTCTTACGCGGGTGATGGAACTATTTTGTATTAGATTACAGTGATGGTTTCACGAATCCATACCTGTGTTAGAATTTATAAAACGGTACATCAAAAAGGGTCCATTTTAGCAGGGGAGGGTATGGCTCAGTGGTAGAGTGTGTGCTTAACATGCACGAGGTCCTGGGTTCAATCCTCAGTACCTTCATTAAAAAAATAAATAAATAAACCTAATTACCTTCCCCCCCGCTAAAAATTTTTTTAAAGAAACAAAAAAAGTCAATGTTAATGTATAATTTAAAAATGAAAAAGAAAAGAAAAGAAAAGAAAGCATCATCAAACATGAAAAACCACCACTAGCCTCTCCCAGTTATTTGTGTACTTCCCCCAAAACAAATAAAAGCCCATAGACTTCCCCCATGCTATGCTTTCATTCATTCATTGAATACATGCAGCACTCAGTACATGCCAAGCAATTTAAAAATAACGATGGAAGAATTCTGACAGATGGGAAGAACTCAAGGTGAAGGCAGTCCCTTCACCTCCGGAGTTTACACTATAGGAAAATTTTCTTATCAATATATTTACTAAAAATATCAAAGCTATGCTTTCCTTGGAGAAGAAAGCTGTTTTCCCATGAAAGCCTTGTGAGGGAGAGAAGGTAGATTTTAGAAATATAGATACTGAACTGAGATTCAAGGTAGATTTTAAACATACAGCAAGTTAACTAAGGTCAAGTAACAGGCCCACTTTCTCAGGGTGTATTAGTATTAAAATGCAACCCTTCAAATTTCCAGGGCAAGGGCTTCAATTCTATTTCAAAACGTTTTGTGCTAATGTTGCAATAGGTATCGAGATTCTTAACACTGTTTAGACCTCTGTTCTAGTTATTTCACTTCTGGGAATCTAAGGATATTTTGTAAAATGTGGACACATCTTTATGCAAAAAAACTTCAGTGCAGTTTTTCTTACAATAATTAAAATCTCCATGTCTAGATTCACAGAAAATAAGGAAAACCATGTACGTAATTGTCCAGCCTTTATAAACACTTTAGTAGCAGAAGCACTACTTGGAAACATGTTTGATACAATATTAAATAAAAAGAACAGGATATAAAATAGCCTTAGCTGTTTTAAAAGATGTAAAATTCTGAAAAAAAAAAGATGTAAAATTCCAGGGAAAAGTCATGCAAATACTGATGATTAAGGCGAAATTGATATGACATTTTCAAGGTGAATTTTCATAGCATCAAAAAGATAGATAACTTTCCCAAAAGAAGCGATACAAATGGCCAATATGCACGTGAAAAGATGCGAAGCAAAATTAGTCATTAAGGAAATGTGAATCAAAACCACAATGAGATACCACTTTGCACTCACTAGGAGGGCAATATAATAACAGCAACAACAAGGGTAAATAACAAGTGTTGTCAAGGATGTGGTGTAGTTGGAACCCTTATGTACTGCTGGTGGGACTAAAAAGTGGTGCAGCCACTGTAGAAAACAGCTTGGCGGTTTCTCAGAAGGTTAAGCATAGAATTACCATGTGACCCAGCCATTCCAGTCCTGGGCGTACAACCCAGAGGAACTGAAAGCAGATGTTCATTCAGGTGTTTATACTGGTGCCATTGTTGACAGTGGCCAAAAAGTGGAGGCAGCCTGGATGTCCATCAGTTGAATGAATAACAAAGCACGAGGTGTCCATGCACGAATATTATGGATAAATAAAAAGGAATGGAGTAAGTTTTTAAATGGGCAGGGGGTGGGAGGAATGGAGTGCAAATATCCCCTGCAGCATGGATGGCCTTGGAAATGTTGTGCTGGAGGAAGGAAGCCAGATGTGGGGGCCATAGGTTGTATGATTCCACTTACATGAGTGTGCAGAGTGGACAGAGCCTTTAGGCACAGAGCAGACTGGTGGCTCCCAGGTCCTGGAAGGTGAGGAGTATGGGAGGGGGACTGCTTAGTGGGTATGGGGTTTGCTTTTAGGGCAATGGGAGTGTTCTGGAAGTGGACAGTGGTGATGGTCACATGACACCGTGAATGGAGTAAATGTCACTACAAGTAAAATCTTATGTGTATTCTACCAAAATAAAAGATAGATGTACATAAACTCTATTACACCAACTCTACTAGGATGTTATTTTAATGATAAAATCATGAATATGGCACAGATTGTACAAAATGAGGTTCACTGTGTACGTATCATTGCTGTTATAAACAAGAGCAAAAATCTGAAATTACTGAAATGCCTAACCAAAGGGGCTCAATTAAATGAACAAGGTACCCAGTGGAATGCCACATTGTTACTAAACCTGTGCTACAGGAGTTCAATGACAAGATGTTAATACAATTCAAAGGGAAAAATCAATTTATCTCCTCCCCTCAGAGTGTGTGTGGGTGTGTATAGACGTCTATCCTAGGTATGCACACAAAAAAGAAATGACAGGGACCTGTATCAAAGGGGTAACAGTGACTAGTTCTGGGTGGAATTACACACAATTTTAATTTTCTCAGTAATAAAATAATAAGTGCTAATAATTACTTGCTAAGTATCTTGTGAAATATCAGGGACTGTTCTAGATTCTATCCATTAAATTAAATCATTTAATTCTCATAAAGACCCTATGAACAAGGGGTAACTAACTTCTTCAAGCTTACATAGCTGGTACCTGGTGGAGCTTGGATTCAAATCCAGGGACTGTGGCTGCAGAGTCAAGATCCAAACACTGTGCTATAAGATCTTTCTGTTTAATCCATACATTCTAAATTCTCTTTTAAAAGGAAAGAAACTTATTTAAAAAAAAATAAATCAACCTGACCATAAATTCTAAGAGATGTCATCACAGTCGGAAAGGAAAACAAAACAGACATTTAAAACTTCTCCTATTTGTCTAGGTTTTCCAAATTTCCTATAATGGATACAAACTGCTTTTAAAATGGAAAGAAAAAAGTAGCTCTCAACTAAGACAAAACAAAGCGTGGGGTCAGATTTTACGCCTGAAAGGACAAATCCAAGGACCTGCAGACTCCAGCCCTGAGTGACCAAGTGCGCGTGGACCAGAGGTGGGAGGGAGGGGCCCGTGGGCGTCCCCGAGTGAACTCAGCAGGTGGAACAGAAAGAGCCTGTTCCACTCCCTCCCTGGTGCACCTCGTCCTTACCTCGCAGGGCCTCCTTATGCTCTTCCTCCAGGACTCTTCGCTGCTCATCCAGTTTTTCTCCAAGCTCTAGCTCCCTCTCCTTCTCCACCTGGGGGCGGAGGGTCCCAGGCGGGATGAGATTGAGTAGGTTCAGGGCAGCCTCTCTTGTCCGCTCACTGACCCTTGGAGCTTTGCAGACGTTGGTGATCAGAGTCCCACCCACTTATCTGAGTGATGAGAATGACATGGGCCCAGAGAGGGCACAAGGCCTCCAAGACAGCAGGTGTGGCCAACTTGGCCCTCTTTAGGGCTTAGGGGGAGGTTCCCAGAGAATTATCAGGTAGAAAAGGATTTCAGAATCTTTCAATCCTGATGCCACTCCCGGCTGGAGGCCCTTCTGCTGTGTTACTGTTTCCCCACATTTTATTGCCTGGAATGAATATAATGAATCACATGCCAGCAGTTTCAAGTATTTGCTTAATAGATAAAGGGCCCCTTTCTTGGCAAAGGGAGTCGACAGATATTTACAACAACAATAAAACCGAAAGTTGGCCCTGGGTCTGGGATTTAACAAGGTTAACTAAGCAGGAGGAAAGAGAGGGGCTGGGACTTACCTGCTGCGCCCATTTCTTCCTGTCCTCTTCGTGTTGCTGGAGAATTCTGGTTATAGCCTTCTGGTGCTGCTCAACTTCCTCAGATGCACAGAGATGGACAGTAGTGGCTACAGGGGAGAAAGAGAAAAGCAATCACAGAGCGGAGGTTGGGTCACGGCCCAGCAAAAAGGGTGTGGGAGGCTGGAGCTAAGCAGTGGGGGGCCTGGTCTCCAGCTGGAGCATGGTTTCAGTTAGGGCAGCCTCCAGAGGCAGCCCCTTAAATCTCCCTGGCTTTGGAGACCCTCCTTCATGAAGTGCAGGGGCCAGTGGTCTCACTGTGCCCCCGGATCTACAGCAGAGCAGGTAGCTCACAGGACAGATTTGGCCCATAAAGGTCTGTCTGCTCTACCCAGTATCTAAATTAAAAAAAAAAAAAGTTGTGACCTTAATAACTTGGACAGCTTTTACTTAATACATTGATTTCCAACTTTTCTCTTTTTTCAAATTTTAATTTTATTATTTTGAACGGAGGGACTGGGGATTGAACCCAGGACTGCATGCATGCTAAGCACGCACTCTACCACTGAGTTGTCCTACCCTCCCCCAAACTTTTCTTGAAGAAGTCAAAGAAATGGCAGTCTGTGCCTTAGTGTCAACCAGGAGCTGAGCTGAGGAGCAGTGTCTCCCATCCATCCAGGTCGTGGCTCTGCTGTTTGCCACAGTTCTCATCTCTCCGTACAGAGGATATGGTTAGGGGCCATTTCGTCATGTCCTTTACCTGCTGGGTCCTGTGTCTGAGTGTGTGATCCCTCACCATCAGCATCCCTCCAGCTGAAGGCAGAGGGGCTGCTGTGAGTGGGGAGGAGGGGCAGGCATGAAGTCTAGCCCCTGTTTAGGGAAACTCCAAAATAGGCTGGGTGATGCCACTCTGAGTCCAACAGGCTCTGGGTCTGACCTAGGCAGGGACCCATCCTCTCTGTGCCTCAGTTACCCAATATGTGAAATCGGGAGGATAATAACACCTACCTCATGGGGCTGTTGAGATGATTTTATCAGAAAACAATGGCAATCAAAATCATAGCCACAGGTGAGGAATACTGAGTGCTTACCATGCTCAGGGACATGCCTGGCTCTGTTCCAAGTGTCTTCATCCTCACCACAGCCCAGTGCGGTGGGCACTATGACTACCCCCATTTCACAGATGTGGGAACTGAGGGACACAGAAATTATTCAAGTTGCCCAAGATTATCCAGTGCACAATGCAGGGAAAGGGTTGTCAACCTGTATCACCTGATTCCATGGCAAACACTCTGAACTACCAACTTGTCCTGCCTGCTTACACACAAAAGACAGTAAGTGTACAACAGCCAACATATGGAAGCAACCTCAGTGTCCATTGACAGATGAACGGATGGAGATGTGGTATACATAGACAATGGAATACTACTCTGCCATAAAAAAGAATGACATTCTGCCATTTGCAACAATGTGGATGGACCTAGAGGGTATTATGCGAAATGCAATAAGTCAGACAAAGACAAATACTGTACATTATCACGTTTATGTGGAATCTAAAAAAGAAAACAAACAAATGAATTTAAAAAGCAGTAAGTGTAGTGCCAGGCATTTGGAGGTACTCAGTAAATGCTCTTCATTGTTCACTACCTGTGACAAGCATTAAAGGCTAATTCCTAGCATTGTTAGTATTATTATAACTGTAGTTGTGATAGTATTACAGAACTCCACAGGCTGGATCAGGCACAGGGTATGATGAGAAATGTGAGGACAGAGGCTGTGGCCAGCCCATCAGGATGGGAGGACTGAGTCAGTGCTCTGGGTCCTCAGGGGAGGCAGCGGTCACAATCAGAGAGTTCCAGGCTCAAGGTCCCAAATATTGGTCACAAGCACAGTACCAGCCTGACCCCAGCTGGGAAGGAGCTTATTAAAAAAATTTGTCATCACTTACAAGGCAGAGCCTTCACTCCCACTCCTGGAGATTCTTATTTATTTGGTCTGTGGTGGAGCCCTAGAGTGTGTATCTTTGAAATCCTACCTCCCAACCCCCAGGAAATTCTTATGTAAGCCAAACTGGAGAACCTCTGAATTCTGGCCCAGTGGAACTTCATATACAATCTCCCTGACAGCCCCCAGGTGGTAATTAAACACTTTTGGAGATGGAGCGCTCATTCTATTTACGAGGTAGCTCGGATGATTTTAAACCAACAACCACATAAAAAAATCTTTTGAGATTGAACTGAATTCTGCCTGCCTGTTCTTGCCATCTTGTGCCCTAGTACTGACCTCTGAGTCACAATGAACAAGTCTCATCTGTCTTCTCCATGAGGGCACTTCAGTCACTTGGAGAAAACTGATGTGTTTTCCTGCAACATTTCCAGGTAGAACATCCTTTGTTTCTTAACTGCTGCTTAAAGGATATGGTTTCCAGATTCCTTACCAGCCTGATTTTTCTCCACTCTATTCCCTCCAATGTTTCTGGATTCCTCTGCAAATGTACTTTCCAGAAATAAACTCAGCACTCCAGGTGTGGTATCAATAGCTGGGAACAGGGAAGAGCTATCACCTCCCTGATTTTAGACGTAATACTCCTACTAATGTAACCCAACTGAGATCTCGTGAGATAGTTAAATAGCTATATCTCATCTGTTGATTATAAAATAGGAAACTTCACAGATGTCATGGAGGGCATTTATAGGGCTGGCTACTCACCTGTATCACCATTGAGGGGACCTAGCTCCTGTGGCTCTGGTCTGGGTGGCTGATCTGGTCCTTGGGGCCTCTGGAAGAAATGAGACAACAGTGAGGATGAAAGAAAAGAAAGTAGGAAGTCAGCATGAGGATGGATGCGAGGGCAGGATTCTTCCAAAGGCAAGACAGGAATTCCAGTTGTGCCAGCCCCTGCCCTGTGCCCAGTTCACTTAGGCTCCTTCCCTCACCGTCCCAAGGCAGCACCCTCTTTGCAGGGAAGGGGTTCCCAGAGCAGGATTTCTCATCCTGGCCAGGGAAACCCTCAACGGGGAGTTTGATGCTGGTTGACCTCTCCTTAGATTCTTGTGTTTTGGCTCCTGCCACCAACCATGGCCACCTCTTCCTTCTCCAGGGACTTGGCCAGACCTTCTGCTATCACCTTCCCCCGTTATGGCCTTCAAGTGTCCTAAAACTTCCCACACCCTAGTTCACAGACAATTCTCCTTTTTTCTCAGGGCCTGCAGCTACCACAACTTCCAGCCAAGCTCCCTATATTGAAGGCAGAGCATCAGAAGTTTGAGTCATGGTTTTACTGTGCTGATTTCCTGCTGCGAGGCGCTGTCCCTCACCTACAAGGAGGCAGTAGTACTTACCGTGACAGATGGGGCTGAGATGATATAATGAAGACGTGTCAGGCACTGTGCTATCTAATCTACACAATCTTAGCTGATCTTCAGAAAGACCCTGCAGGAGGGTATAGCTCAAGTGGTAGAGCACATGCTTAGCACGCACAAGGTCCTGAGTTCAATCCCCAGTACCTCCTCTAAACATAAACCTCCACTCCCAAATAATACAAATATATTTTAAAAAAGAAGGACCCTGGGAAATATGATTATCCCCCAATTTAAAGATGAGAAGGATGAGGTAGGTTAGGGTTCAATCAAAAACAAGATCAGGGGACAATTGGCAGATATTTGAGCCACACCTAGTAGGCGCTTTAACCATCCTTGGCCAGGGTAGGTTGAATCTGATCAAAGGAGAGAACTGAGGCAAAAGGGCTTCTATTCCCCAAAGCAGTGTCAGTGGCTCCCACATTTCAGTTTTTATAAATAATATTTTTAAAGAGGAGAGTTGATATGGGCTGACAAGTAAGGATGCTGAAAAAATTTATTTACAGACTATTAACTAACATTTCATAAAACAGAAGACACCTTAACCTTCCAAAATACATTGAGGGAGCTCAAGACGCTTCTTCCAGGAAAGGGGAACTGACATCCTTACTTGATGTTCCACACACACTCACACCTTTAATTTTCTTATTTCACCCCAGAGAGGTGAGAAGTTGGCCAAAGTCTGGCACTGGCCACTGGACCAGCATCCAGGGTAGAAGAAAATATTTAAGCCGTTCTGCATACTTTTCAAAACATTCTCAGATATTAACTAGACTTATTGTAATTAGACTTTAACAATGTCCACAAGTATTGACTCATTAGGTTGTATGTGTAAAACTAGTATAATGTTTTATGTCAATTATACCTCAAAATAGTGTTCTTTAAAAAAAAAAAGGTATTCTAGGCCCCATTTTTTTTTAAAAAGCACTTAAGTCAGCCTATGAAAAGGCTATGAAAGTGTTCAATTGTAAATTATCACTGTAAAAGAAAAACTTCACCTTTTATTATGATAACAGGTTAAGTAATTATTAGAATAAAAATGAACAATTTCCTGTACTCAAGAACGACTGACATGCTGCTGGAAGGCACACTTCTGGCTGAGGAGGGAAGAGAAGGGAAGGCTTCCAGAACATCGTGCTCCTGTCTCAAAGTGCCCGGCACAGAGCCCGGTGCAGCGCGAACCCTGGAGACCTGAGCGAGGCCCAGCGCCTCCCCCGGGCACACCTGACAACTGAGCCCTCCCTCCACCCGCCATGGGAAGCCTCAGCCCTCCTGCCCAGGGGGGCAGGGGATGCTTGGCCCTGGCGCAAGCTGTCAACACAGACCTCTGGGAAGCGACAGGAGCCAGCCTCTCCCCCTCGGGGTGGGAGGAAGGAGGGAGATAAACGTCAGTGGTCGTCTTGTCCCTGCTATCACCACTGGTTACACTCATCTGAGCAACATTTTTATGGGAGTGAGATGTTCTGAATTCCAGTCACAGCTTTTCCACCAACTTGGACAAACCTCTTCCCTCCTCGGGGCTCCTGCTTACTCCTTTGTGCAGTGGAGGCGAGGAGGTCTCGGCTTCACCCAACAAGGCCCATGGCATTCAAACTCTGTCATCTCAGCCTCTCTCAGCCACACTGTGAGGTGAGGGTTATCACAAGGGAGGAAACTGGAGGTCGGGGAGGTGAGACACGGTCACGTGGTGCCTCGATGTCAACATCAGCGTAAGAACCAGGACTCAGCAGGTTAGAGACTGGAACACTATGGTTACGAAGTTTGGGATTCTAAAATCCCCCAGATCTGGATTGAAATCCTAAATCCACCACCATGTGACTACACGGCCTCCCTGAGCCTTGGTTTCCTCCTGAGACTGTTTTAAGGATGCGATGAGATCAGGGACCTATAAAGTCTGGCACACTCTAGGGCTCAAACGTAGCACACATTTATTACTTCGTATTTGAAAAATCTGGCAAGAACAAAGACCCACAGTGCTTTGCTAGACTTCTTAGGCTGCCATCAGCCTCATGTTGCCTGAAATAAGATCATAAAACTCATATGAAATCGACTTCTCCCAACTAACAATCCCAGAAAGTGAAAAACTTCTCCACTAACAGCTTCCAGACCTTTAGCAGGACACGGCCATGGGCTTGAATCTCCAGATCCTGACAGACCCACTCCCTACCCAGGATAACTCCTCAGAATGACATTCAAGATCCATCAGAGTCTGTCCTCACTCTAACAGCCTCCTCTCCATTTTCTTAAGTTTAAATATTTGCAAACACCTTTTTCCAATTATAGCAGTAGTGACTAATATATATTTATTTATTATTGGAATAATATATACTTCTGTATATCTTACTTTTTTCAAATATGAGCAAATGCTACATGACATTAAATATTTTAGATGAATTTCACCACTTAATCAATAATCCACTGTGGAATGTTTATGTTATTTCCATTTTAATTTTCAAATCATGCTTCAGTGAACATACTGATTTACAAGATTTTTTTTACACATTTAAAATTACTGGCCCTGTCCTCTAGAAAGTTTCTACCAATTAACTCTCCCACTAACAGCACACAAGAAGGCGAGTTTGACTGCAACCTTGCCAACCTGGACTGGCAGCATTATTATTAATAATAATAATAATAATAATAATAATAATAATAATATTTATAATTATTTATTATATTTATATTATTATATATATTATATATTTATAATATAATATAATTATTATTATTATTATTTTAATGTTGCCAAATTAGCTAGGCCAAAACCAAACCAAAACAACCTGCTGGACTCCTGGCCCCAGCACGCACATCCATGAGCTCAAGAGCACCCCGACATGGCATTCGGTCAACATTTCTCAGGCTCCAGGCCCAGCTCATGTATGATTTCTGCTTGGTCTTGTCCTAGGGCTCCTGTCAGCTCTACACTCTGGGGCCTATTCAGACACCTACGCAAGCAGGGACCTGGTCACCTGTGTTTCTCCTGCTGCTCCAAGGGGGCTCCTTGATGACAGGGACTAATTTTGAAATCCACTTTGGATTTGCCCCAGTGTCTGTGATGATGCCCAGAACAGTCTTTCTAGGTATTTCTTGGCCTAAGATAGGGCCTCCTGTGTCGGAACCACCTGGAGCGCTTACTTAGCATAGCTCGCAGGCCGAGTCCTAGAGCTCCGGAATCCAAGGCAGGTGTGTGTGTGCTGGGAAGCGCCAACCTCCAATCTACCAATCCAACCAGCTGACCTGGAGGCGCACCAAAGCCTGAGGACACACAGTCCAGAGCTGAGCAGGAATTGATAAGCAACCACTGTATGGAAAATTCCTGTGCTGGGGCCTTGGCTGCTTCCTCCTCAGAGGTCATGGCACAGAGTCCACCCTGCAGCGGGAGAGGACAGGAGCCGGGAGGGGCCACAAGAATTTCCCCTTCCAAAAGTGGAGTGGGGAGGCCTTGGGCTGGGAGGGGCATCCGGACTGAACTCTGGAAGAGGGATGGCAGCTTCCTGTGTCAACGGAAACTTGGGAGAAGCAAGCCATGAGGCAGGAGCTTAGCAGCACCGGATGGAGGGGGAACCTGGACATGGAGGGGGAACCAGGACTGGGAGGGGAGGCCGGGAGACCGAGGTTCCAGCTTTACTGTGTGACCTTAGGGCAGTCCTGCCCCTCTCTGGACCTCAGTTTCCCTATCCCTGATGGGTCAGGGTGAGAACAGACATTCTCCTCAGTCTTTCTGGACTCCAGGGCAGCCCTTCAACTAAGAAGGCCGGAAACAGGGCCCCAATATCTTGGTAACATGCACAGTTCTAGGGCCCAGCTCCTTGTCAAGCCGACCAGATCCCTGTTCTGAGATCAGCCAGAAGAAGCAAACCTGGTCTTTGGTAGAACCGGGCCGCCAAAAGCAGACAGAGTCTCGGCAGAGGGGAGGACAGAGCCAGAGCTGTGGGGAGGGCAGACAAGCCCAGACTGGTCCCAGGGAGATCCCTTCGACTGTACTCGCATGTTGGAGGGGAAACTGGCCACCTGGAAGGAACCAACAGGATGCTGTAGGAGACTCAAACCAAATTACAGGAGGGACTATCACCAACAGTTGGTCAGCCTTGAGAACAGGCCAAAAAATAAAACAAAACACACCTGGGCTCTGTCTTCAAATCCCTGCCATGAAGTAGAAGGTGCATGTGTGTGGTCCACAGTCTTGGAGGGCAGGATGATGGCTAAAGACTAGAAGTCTCAAGAAGTTTTCAGGGCAACATAAAGAATTTCAGAACTGCCCCTAACAGAGACAGGCTGCCTTATTGGAGAGTGGGATGGGGTGGTGGTAGTGAGCTCTCCATCACTGGTAGCAGGCAAGAAGAGGCAGACTTCATTTTGCAGGTTGGATTGAATGATCTCAGAGGACCCTCAACTCCAACAGTCAGTCGCTCTATGAAGTATCCTTGATGCTCAGCAAGACCTCCAGGAAGCATCAAGTGTTCAGCTAGTGCAAGTGCTATGTAAAACCCACCAACATTAACAGTTTCGGGGGCTCTGCTGAGTATTATTCAAGTTGCAGTACTTTGCA